TCCAGTCACGTCACTTCCATATTTAAATGCCTCAACAGCTGCCCACTGACTGCCCCTAAGTCTGCAGCCCCCTTTCAGCGACTCCCATGCCCCCTACTGCCCTGCTCCCTTGACAGCCTGACTCCTAAGTTCACATCTTGCCCTGGCCACTTATCAACTCTGTGATCCTTGGGAGTTACTAACCTCTCTGCAGCTCAGTTTCCTTCAACTGGGTTAATCTCAATAATCTGTCTCATAATGTTATTGGGAGGATTAAATGATTTGATATAAAACTCTTAGAAAAGTGCCCAGCACATAGTGATGACCACAGAAGGGATGGCTGTTACTGTTGTCATTGTCATTCCATCTTTCCCAGGCTGGGGTTATCGTCTGTACTTCCCTGGATTTGCACAAAGCACCATTGCAAATACTGTCACTACTACATAGTTGAATTGTTAGGTTGCTTCTCTCTATTTCAGGTCTTTATCATCAACAAATTCTAGACTTGTCACCCTGATTAGATTATGAACTCTGAGGTTAGCAGTTTTACCACAATTCTTTTTATGTTTTATTTTTGTATTTCCCCACAGATCTAAATACAGGGCATGGTGCAGACACTCAGACATTTGCTTATTGATGGAGGGGGAAATCTCTTTTTCTCTAAATCTCTCTTTGTGAAGCCTTTTGTAACCATTCTCTCCTTTTCTTCTCTCTATTGTACTATCAGCATGTTAACATTTTTTACATATTTCTGCTGTAGCTCTCGTCCAGTTCCATTGTAATCATTTGCTTGAACTACCACCCCCTACCCCTCCTCTGTCTGGGTAGGAGTTGCTCTCATTTGAGTCTGTGGCCTTTAGCAAAGGGACTGTGCATAGTAGACACTCATATTTGAGTGAATGCTTGATAAAGAAAGAATAATATGCATTATATTAAGGCCACTATATTTGAGGAAATAGGTGAGAAAAAAATTGCATGATTTCTTTTTTATATCTATTTCTTTTGATTCACTAAATGTCCAAGAAGACCTAATAATTTAGAGATTCTAACTAACCAAGCAAGAAACTCCAAATAAATATTCTTCTAACATAGAAGCAAGCATTCCAACAACTTTACTGGTACTAGTATGTCTCCTAGCTCCATGTTTTCTAGGATAAAATGTTTTATCTGTAGTTTCTAAGAAAATATCAAAATATGAAAACCACCTAAGTTGTTATAGAGGTAAAAATGGGTGGTGGATTTTGATGTTGCTGGATTAAACTACTTTCAGAAGAAAATTCAAATTGGGTTAGATTTCACAGCACTGAAAATTGTTGAAGAGGAATTTCCTGCTAAAAACTATTTTGACTGGGTGTTGTGTAACAAGATAGTAGGTAATCTGAATTTCATCTTTTATGAATGTGACTATAGATGAGAAATGATTGTTTTTATTGTCACACTTTTGTTTCAGTTCCATGCTATACATTATCATATAAAAGGTGACATCTTTTAGCAATGAAGAGGTGATTAAAAAAGTCAGCATGTGTCTTCTGCAGCTTAACAAGAGGGTAAAACCCTGCATATACCATGTGTGTTTTAAACTCATGCTTAACGATTTAAATGCTTGCTTACCACCAAATCTATCCATAGTCTTCCTCAAGATGAGACTTATTTGTAACAGAACTGTTCATAAGTTCTGTTTTATATTTAGGAAGAATAGTAAAGATATTGGTAATACATCTTCATGGCTGAATTTCTCACAGCAGTGAGGGAATCTGTATTTTAAGTCAATAAATTTAAAACTATAAATAAAGTTCTCTTATTGTGATTTTCATTCATTGGTAAATGGTTAACTCTGATTGCTAGTGAAAGTACTAGAACTTTTGGGTCTTCTTATTCCAGCAAGAACCTTATGCCAGTTTCAGGTTTCTACGTTTGGTTTCATCTCTATTCCAAACTGTCCCACTTCTGAGAAGTCAGACTCTGAAATTCTTTTCAGGGCTCTTCTGTTCTTCTTCCTCCTTCCCTCCCTCCCTCGTTCCCACTCCCTGACTCTCTGACCCCCTCTCTTCTCCTGGTTCTCCATTAAAATACCCATGTCCATGTGGCCCTAACCCTGTTCAGCCATGGTAGCCACACCTCGACTCTCTTGTCCCCTTTTCTGCTCTGTTTTCCCTCCTTCCCTTCTCCCCACGCCACATTATCCTTTTATCTTTTTATCTTATTATCCCATTATCCCATTCCTCCCTCCCACTCCTGGAATTCCAGGCAGGTTGGGTCCATTACAACCCATGATCTCAGCTTTTCACTCTTCCCTTATTGACTCAGTGTCCATTGTCCCCACTGATTTGCTGCCATCCCACACAGAGGATGTCCTCAGCTCCCTCCATTACTTCAGAGCCCCGCCTTGACTGCCTCACTCCCAGCAGGTGCTTCTTACTTGCCCATGAAGATTGAGGAGGTCAATCCACAGCTGCCTCCAACTTCCTATGGCTACACCCCAGTTTTTTTGTGTTTTATATCTTCTTCTCGGCCTTTTTCTGACACGCCTATCTGTGAGGCTAACCCCCTGAGAGTATTTCATTGTACAGATTAAATTGACTTTTTAAACCAGTTTCTTAAAATGAACTTAGATTGTTTCTGTTTTTTTTTTAATGAATACAAGCAGTTTTGAAATAAACATCCTTGGATAACTGTATTGCCCACTTGTGAGAGCACAGGCAGTCCTAGCTTTGCATGACTCTCTGACATGCACAGTTTCAGCTACCACTGGTTAGTTAAATCACACCAGTCCCCCAACAACATGGTTCAAATTTCAGTTACCAAGATTTATTGACTGTGAGTAATTGCATGAAGTATAATCTTTGCTGCTGGCTTTTTCAGTCCACAGATCCCTATGTAAATAATGGATGTGTATCGTGGTCAGCGACCAATGTCACTTTTTTTAAAGGCTGTCAGGGATTGGTTGCTATGCATCTGTTTGTCAGTTCCACACAGACAGCAAGGCAAGTAGTTGTATTACTTCTTTGTCTCCCAGTGGTAAACCTACATGACGCTTTATAAAACTGGATAACTGAAAGAGGGAGTTGGCTGATGAAGATGAAAGTGCAGTAAAGAAAAGTGATAATGCTGAAAGTGAAACTCAAATCAAATGTAAATGGGGTTGTGGAAGAAATAGCTGACTGTGGGAATGTTAATGCTGCTGCTGTTCAACACACTCTGGGATTGCCCCAGAAGAGCTTAGTGACACTGAATTTATTGACATAATGAGGAGCGTGGTTGGGATGAAAAGGGTGAAGATGTCCCCGAGGAAGTGACACTGGCACAAAAAATTCATATTAAAGGGACTCTTGGAGATATTTCATAATATTGAAAGTGCAAAGGTTAAAACATTGGAAACTGATCTAAACTTAGAAAGGAATGTGACAATTTACCAAGGCATAGAAAAGATTCTCACTCTGTACTGTAAGTTATATGTTGAGAAGAAGACAATGCACTGTTCCAACTATTCTTGATGAGTTTATTACAAAGAAATAAAACTTTAGTTCTCTATGCTTCCTCTTTAGTTCTTGCATTTACTTGACAGTAGGCACCTTGAGGACAGAGGTCGTGTCTGTGTTATTACTGAGTATCCAGTACCCAGCCTAGAGACTGGCATATGATCAATACTCAATATGTTTTATTGGAGGGAATGAATTCATGAAAGCCTCCATCTACCATCTCCTTGCCCCATTCACTGGTTCCTCCTGTCTCTCTGATCTCTTCATCTTGGCTTTCAGGAAATACCACTCTATCTGTCCATACGGCGTCCATTGCCCTTTGCATGTTCTTTGTTCTTGCCAAATAGGCTGCTCATTATTCATCTGCTGTCTTCCATATGCCTGCTTTCCTTGGAGCCTTTCCCTATGCTGGCCTCCCTCCTAGAAGTTTACTCTTCCTCTCTTCCCTTCCCCCAGCTCTGCCTGGCAATATCATACCATCGGTTCCCCCTTCAGAGCCCAGCCCAAAGGCTTTCTCTTTGAAGCTGTTTCTGATCTCCCTTTCCCCAACCACCCAACCTTTTTTCTTCCTTAAACAACTATGGAGCTGCAACTGCTTCCTAGAGCCTACCAAATATGAGCCATTCATGCTGTTATTTTTACCTTTCCTCCACAAATAGAAGCTCCCCGAGATATCACTTATTCTTCTGTGCATAACCTAGTCTTTACACATAGTTGGTACTCAATGCATATTTTGTTGAAGTGCCCTGCAAAGTGATGCTCCAGAGAGCCATCAAGGAAACTCCATCCCACTAAAAAATATAGAAGATTGTTTTATGGATTATTCTGCTCTTTTTCCTTCTAACTCACAAATGAAAGTTCTGTCATTGTTCCTAGGAGTTGTATGGTGTATCCACTTATTTTAAAATGTCAAAGGCCAGAAGAGTGGAAAATAAGCACATGGTGAAGTGTGAGAGCTGGGAAGATTTTGAGAGATGCATGTAGTCCAACCCTTTAATTTATAGGTGAAGAATCTGAGGTCTAGAATGCTTAAGTGACCTGCCCCAAATCGCACAACCAGTTTGTGGAAACGTCTGGGCCCAGGATGTAATAGCCCAACCCTGTCCAATGCTTGTCCCCGCAAGCTGCCACAGTGCCTGGGAGGATCTTGTTTAGGTGTGGGTGGCTAAGCTGTTCAGAGAGGCATCTGATGTTCTCATACTGCCTCTTATGAACAACAGGTAGGAAGTTGAATCTCTAAATAGATTTTCCTCTCTCCCACCCTTAATCATTACAAGTTCTCTGACTGGATTCATTTACATCAGCTGGGAAATTTCTGGCAGCATTAGCCTTGGATGGCATAGGTTCATTTGCCAACATTTGAGTATACTACATACAGATAAGTGCATAAAGCATAAGTGTGCAGTTTGAATGTTCACAAAGTGCACACATCCGTGTGACCAGCACCCGGATCAGGAAACGGAGCAGCACCAGCAAGTTTAGACACATTTGAAGAAATAAAAGGGTTTTGAAGCTATGTAATTTTCTTTTTTCTCCCCACAGGTATTGTCAGTCTGTGTGTTAACAACAATCCTTGGTTGTATATTTGGGTTGAAACCAAGCTGTGCCAAAGAAGGTAATTAGTACAATGTGAGTGTGTGTGTGTGCGCGTGCACACGTGTGTGTTGATATTCAGCCTTCTTCAGAATGTGATTGAGATAAGCACTATGCCCTAATCCTGTGGGTACTCCAGAGATATTGCAAATTTGATGCTGTTTTGAGCCTTCTTGATGCTCTTTTATTATTTTAGCCACATAATGTTTTATTTACTTGCAAAGTTTCATCCTAAAACAACGAAGAGGGGCTATGACCAAAACACCAACCAACCAAAGGGAAAACCCCCAAAACAACAAAAAATAAATTAAGAACAAAGAAACAAACAACCAGCCATGGCCGACAGGTTCTGGTGGGGCGTCCCTGGAGGCCTCCCCCTGGCTTCCTCCAGGGACTCCTAGGACACTTTCTCCCCAAGGAGTTAGTCACTGAAGTAGCCCTGGAGGTTACCAGGTGACCAGTTAGCATCCCTGGGCAACCAGAAACTTATCGTTATGTGCTCCTAAGGCTCTTAAAATTGCAGACATTGGCAATTTGGAAGGAATAGAGATATTTTTAAGCTTCTTTCTATATTTTTTTCCTTATGTCAAGTGCAGAAATCTATCCAGCACTGACAAGATTACTATAAATAATAAAACCTTGAATCACAGTGCATTGTAGTTGTCATTATTTTGGCTCTGAGGTAGGTCTTTCTTCCCTTTGTAAAACCATTGATGGTCTTCTTAAGGAATTCACTTTTGAAAATTGAACACATTCTTTTCCTGTTCAGTTCTTCTGGAATTGTAATATTAGTCATTTAAAAAAATTTTAGTGATTGTTAAGCTATCATTTATTGTTGAATGAAATGTAGTAATTTTATGTATTCAGTCAGCCATCTATTCAGAGCAAATATATCTAAGGTTAACAGAATTAAAAGCTACAGACGTTAGTGTTCCCGTACGTGGTCTTAAGGCATGGAGTAATTCACCTGGAGTTCAGCTGGACATGCAAAAATAAAACTGAAGAATTAAAAATAGCAGTTTTACTCTAAACCTAACATAGTATGCATAGTATTTTAAAAAATTACTGGGTGCATATTAATAAGCTTCAAGTAATAGCTATTATTCTAAAAGCTCCTCACCCCCACCCGGCTCAGGAAAGTTAGTATTTCTGACTCTAGAAATAATTATTGTCATTTCATGTCCTTAAAATTGCCTAATTTCCCAGTGTCATGAGAATTAAATCTTGTGGCAGTGTCTTATTGGGTCAGGAAACCATTAAAGTCAAGAGCTAGGGGTTATTCCTTTTTTCTGTTGGACTCCTATTATTTTACAAGTAGATTTTTTTTCTCACCATCCTGACTTTTTAGTAATCCAATAAACACCTATCTTATTCCAGGTATCTAGTAGAGTTACAACATACACTTGTCTTTTCTTTTTTTTTTTTGTGAGGAAGATCAGCCCTGAGCTAACATCCATGCTAATCCTCCTCTTTTTGCTGAGGAAGACCGGCTCTGAGCTAACATCTATTGCCAATCCTCCTCCTTTTTTTTTCCCCCAAAGTCCCAGTAGATACTTGTATGTCATAGTTGCACATCCTTCTAGTTGCTGTATGTGGGACACGGCCTCAGCATGGCCAGAGAAGCGGTGGGTTGGTGCGCGCCCGGGATCCTAACCCGGGCCGCTGGTAGCGGAGTGCGGGCACTTAACCGCTAAGCCACGGTCCCAGGCCCATAAAATTGTCTTTTTTAATGAAAAGTATTTTTTTCCCATATCTGTCATTTATCTATTTAACAAAAACATACTAGCACCAACGCTAGTCAAGCATCTTGCTGGGTACCAGGGATACACGATGCTGGGCAAAATCCGGGTGTGCTTTTTGTTCCTAAGAAGTTTGTAGTCTAGGGTGAGACTGGGATACTAACCACATAATCTAGGAATAAATGAAATTATGGTGACTGAAGAGAAGGACAAGGTATTATAAAATCTTAAAAAAAGGAAAACGGACCTGGACTGGGGAGTTTGAGAAGGCCTCCCAGAGGGAACCAGGCTGGACCTGATGGTGAAACAGGTGTTTTAGGTGATAGTGGGATGGGCAGTCCTGCAGAATGTGGTCTGCACAGATTACTTCTTTTTTACACCAACTGAGAGTAAGTCAGATATTCTTTCTCTTTCTGAAATATTCATAGCTAATCACTTTGAAAATCTTTTCTCACATTTTGAAATTTTAGAGAACTCCATGGCTGTTTAACCCAACCTTTTCAGAGTATAAAATATTCAGAACAAACTTGTATTCTGACTTTTCCTTACCATACCATGAGTATTGAGGTCTTATCAGACCCAGCAGGGTTTCTCATAAATAAAAAAGCTGGTTTTTTCTATGGCAAGAGATAAAATTGCAAACTCTGTACTTAAGGTTACCTTCTATTTGTGTCGCTTTCTGTGTGTATTTGTGAAAAGATTCTTGGGTAACTTATTACCCCATCTGTGTCTTTAACGTAGTATTTGAATCTAACTTAGTTGTCTAGTTGATATTTACTTTGTAGTTATATGATGATTAGAAACATCTAACTCACTATTCAATGTTTTCAGTTAAAAGTTGCAAAGGTCGCTGTTTTGAGAGAACATTTGGGAACTGTCGCTGTGATGCTGCTTGCGTTGACCTTGGAAACTGTTGTTTAGATTACCAGGAGACATGTATAGAACCAGGTAAAGATGTGCAGGGAAAAGATGGAGTCATGGGCAGTAGTAAGAGATCAAAGGAGAGTTCTGTATCTTTTACGTAAGTGATTTACCTAACTCATATGAGAGTTTTAAAAATTTGGCCTTTATATTTCCTTAGAGAAAAATATTAACATATTGTGCCTTCATTAAACATTTTATGGATAGCAAAGCCATGCCTGTTTTTAAGGTATGCTGAAAGCCTATATAGTCTTATTTGCATTTAAACTAATTTCAAAAAGGCTGCTTCAAATGCATGAATATTCTCATTATGGGCTTATTAAAACAAGAGTTCTTAGATGTCTACCTAAACTTTAAAATATAACTATTGGAATATGTAAATTTTCTGTTTCATTTGGACTTCTCCACATATGACATGGAAAAATATTTAAATGGGAGTGAGCCGGGTTTCAATTAAATTTTGAGAACTCTGAAAATGGCTGGTGGAAGAAGCCAAGATCTACATATGAATTATATGATGATAATTATGTTTGTCCCTGTTTTAAAATGATGAAATTCTGTTTTTTTAGTGAAATAATAATAATTGTTGCCTGCATGTTTTTCATCTGTTAGTTCAGATTGACCTCTGTGGTGGCAGATTCTGTGAGTGACTAAGAGTTATGAAGGAGTTCATTGTCTCTCATGGATCGTGTTCTGGGCTGTCTTTGGATGTGTTGAATTTGGACCGTAATATGTATTTTGTTGCTACTTGTTTGTAGAACGTATATGGACTTGCAGCAAGTTCAGGTGTGGTGAGAAGAGGTTGTCTAGAAGCCTTTGCTCCTGTTCGGATGACTGCAGGGACAAGGACGACTGTTGCATCAACTACAGCTCTGTGTGTCAAGGTCAGGTTTCCATGCATGCACGCACGGGTTCTACAGCAGCCTGATGTCTTCTGGGTCTTAGCTGGCTTTTGCATCGGTGTTATTTTTTATATCAGGAGTCATATTGATTGACCAACTATATTAGCTGACAAAATATTTTTAAAACATTTTATTAAAGAAAATTTCAAACATATTTGTGAGTAAAGAGAGTATGTAGTGAACCTTGTACCCATCAACCAGCTTAATAATTATCGTCTACACATGGCCAGTCACGTTCTATTCATGGTCCTTCACTCTCCCGCTGCCACCCTCTCATGTTCTTTTGCTCTTAGCTATATATTTAATGCTGTATTTGTGGAAAGATCACTTCAGCAGTCTTTCTGACTTCTATGTCCCGGTTCCCTCGTAGTAACTGAGGACAGTGCCTGCCACGCTTTGGGAGAGCAGATGTGAAATTACTGCCCAAGATTATAGGGTGTTATGTAAACTGATGTTATTTCCGTGTCTTGTCTGGGTGTTACAGGGTTCCTTGAAATTCCTTGACAGAACTTGGCTCTCTGTGAGAGCAACTAAGACATCAAGGATTTAATACCAGAAGATTTTGTTGGGTAGATAGAAGGAGGATTGTAAATTTGGGCTGAAAGTATTAACAATTGGAAAATGGAAACGATGCCTTCAAGTTCTCATAAATACTGTAGTATGTTTTAGTCTTGCAATTGTACATTCATTTTTTTCTTCCTGATATCAGCTAACTCTTATTCTGAAACAGAAGGACTCCCTGTATTTGTCATATTTCCCTAGAATCAGGACCCATGTTATCTGTATATCTGTTAACATATTTTGGTTTTGGAATCAGTCCTACTATGTCTCATAGCATCACAATTGTTGTTACTATCAAGTGTCTTCAACTCATTTTGTTTCTTGAAAATATTTTAGGTGAGAAAAGTTGGGTAGAAGAAAAGTGTGAGAGCATTAATGAGCCACAGTGTCCAGCAGGGTAAGATTATATTCTGAGATGCTGATCTTTTCTTTTTTAGAAGTACCATTTGTTTTCTTTTTCCAAATTAAAAAGATAAAAATAATAATTATTCATTGGTTCATTAAGCATTGTTTTTAGTCGGGCCTTATGTTTGCACTGGTGGTATAGAGATGCTTGTGGCATGATGCCACTCTGGAGGCTGGTGGGAAAAAGAGAAGTCATGAATATTTAGTCTCTAGTATTCATGAGTGTTGGGTGGAAGTATTTGTGTCTTCTTTCTTAGGAAGGAAGGACCTTTACTTTCATTTGGAGTTTTGAGAGTTGAACTTGTAGCAAATTGCTTTACAGCTTCTTTTAATTTTTTGTATTTTGATTCATTTATAAATTTTTAGGATAAGCAACATGTCTGTGAAAGGGTGTCACATAATTTTTAGAATTCATATTTGTTCCTTTTGTCCTTATAGTATTTTGCACAGTATCTTATATATACTGGGCCATCAAAAAAAGTTTGTGTGGAATTCAAAGGGTGGAAATTTTATGAAAGCATTAGGTATATTTATCTTTGATCCACTTGAGATCTACTGCCTCATATAAGTTGAATTATACATCTTCAGAAATATATTTTTACCTTTTTAACATAATGATTTTTCCAAACTATTAAAAATTTTAAAGCTATATTTTAGCTTGTTTTGTTTATATATAATTTATTTTTGCTGTATAAGATGTATAGTTTTTTTCTTTTGAATGGGAGAGTATTTTTTTGTTTAAAATAACAGTAACAACAGCAGCAAAAATTAAACCCAAACCAATAAATTCCAGCAGAAGAGACTTTTTTGCAAAGGGGCTTCTCGTTTACCCTCAGCTGTCTTTTAAGTCGAAGGTATATTGGAAATTTTAGACTTAGTGAATTTTGAATCTTTCTTTTCCTTCTAAACATTGATCATTCTTTTTTAATTGTAATGTTGTCTCTTTTAGTGGAAAATATAATTCCTTCTTTCTTTACAAGAAGATCATAATTTAGAACACATTTTATTATACTGGAAATTAGTATACCAGTGTATTTACCTGGTGACCCAGTAAGCTGTTTTTATGTTTTCTGTTGTTTGAATATAAATAATTTTGTACAATTATGGACCATTGTGACTATATGCAGCTGGTTCTGCAGAGTCTCCCAACAGAGCTATGGTACAAATATTAATGGAAATTATATACACATTTTCTTCTTTTTGCATTTGTGTTTATCTATGAGAGTAAGCTGGGGAGGAGGTAGAATTGAAAAAGACAAGATAAGGTGAGTATTTGCTCTCAAATTTTAAATTACCAAGTAAATATTCAGTGGAAAGTTTTTTCATGCTTATCCAGGGGTATCCAACTTTGCTGCCACCTCCCAGATGTCATTAGAAGCTGCAAAATTTCTGAACCGTGTCTGTTTTGGGATAGCCATGTAACAGTCGTCCATAGTTCTTTTCTTTTTCTGGGTCCATCATTATACATGTTTTTTTCCCTCCCTCTGGATTTCCACACCGCACACATTAACTCTGTTTGTGTGTGTGTGTGTATAGCCTTGTTGCTTGTTCATTGCTAGCTTTGGATCATTTCTTTGTTGTTTATGTATTTAAGTGTAGTAAATACTTCTCAAACTTCTATATTAAATATTAATATCTTTTAAATATATTAGACTTAAAAACTAAATATTGTATATAATTTGTGTGATATGAGGTACCATCTATTAGATTCAAGTAGAGACAATAATCAGGAAGTAGTTGTTTAGGAAAAAAAATTAGTTGAAACAAGAACCTAATTTAGAAAACGCTGTTTAAATTTATTCTCCTGCAGATTGGGAAAATATCATTACATTTTGCAGCATCTGGTCTAGCTTTTGGAATAGCAGGAACCATGGATGATGTTCTCTGTAGGGTGGCTCAAAATGTTATGAGTGCTTAATAAATACTATTTGATGATAGATTTATGTGTATAATGAGATACAAAAGCACGCATATAAATATAGATGCTTGTAAAGTATCCTTTATGAGGATGCTTGCTGCGGTTTTTAGTGTACTTTATTTATTTATTTATTTTTTGTGAGGAGGACCAGCCCTGAGCTAACATCTGATGCCAATCCTCCCCTTTTTTTTTTCTTGAGGAAGATTGGCCCTGGGCTAACATCCGTTCCCATCCTCCTCTACTTTATATGGGACGCCGCCACAGCATGGCTTAGCAAGCGGTGCATCAGCGCGCGCCCGGGATCCGAACCGGTGAACCCCGGGCCGCCACAGCAGAGCGCGCGCACTTAACCACTGCGCCACCGGGCCGGCCCCTTTAGTGTACTTTAGGTTACACACCGACCTCCGTGGAGAATCCTCCCCAGACCTGTGCGCAGGGAGGAGGGAGTCTTCACTGGATGGTGTCTTCTTTCTGCTTCTTTAAACATTCTCTTTTTTCTTTCTCCGTACCCAGGTTTGAAACTCCTCCTACCCTCCTGTTTTCTTTGGATGGTTTCAGGGCAGAATATTTACACACCTGGGGTGGACTTCTTCCTGTTATTAACAAACTGAGTGAGTAACTTCAGAGTGTAAAGTACTGTTGGAGTGTCCTGATTTCAGTGAGATAGCCTAGGGAGGCAGCCTTTTTTGGAAAAATACTGGCAGACCCTGTTTGACCAAACTTCTCTCTTGCAAAGTAGTTGGATCTGATGATATGGAACTAGTCTTTCATATTGTAATTACTCTGAAACTGCCCTTTAAATACTGCTAAGATAATGCAGTTATCTTAGGATTTTTACACTTTGATAAAAAATATACATTTTATATATAAGTTTATATATAAATATAAAAATAGAAACATATAAATAAGTATATATTAATATTTTTCTTAGAATTTTGGATTCCTTCTGTGGGAAAATCATTTATTTCTGATATGATACTAGTAGTGTAGACATGGAATATATGCCTCTCATGCTAATGTAGCATCCTTCCAGTTTCTTTGTCTCAATAAAGGTCTTAATTGAATGATTATTCTATAAGTTATTGATGCAGTAGTAGAATGTGTACAGTCAGTCATGCGTCGCATAATGACGGGGATACATTCTGAGAAATGTGTTGTTAGGTGATTTTGCTGTTGTGCAAACATCATAGAGTGTACTTACACAAACCTAGGTGGTATAGCCTACCACACACCCAGACTGTATGGTTATGGGACCACTGTCTACATGTGGTCCATCGTTGACCGAAACATCGTTATGCATGACTGCACACAGTTAGCCTAAGCCCTTGCTTTGGATAATTGGGGAACGTAGCCTGTAATTCTGAACTGTTTGGAAGGCAGTGAGGTATATAGACACATGCCAATCCAAGAACATTTTTTGGCAATGAGGTATTAAAATGCTAGAATCATCAGTTATGTGTTCCTTCCTCAGTAGCAGAGGCGGGAGAAGAGCATGACACCAGGGCTGCATCAGGAATCGTCTGACTTCTGTGCTTTCTCTGACTTGAAGCCAAAAGATGCCTTTTGTCTTGAGAGCAGCGTTGAGTTTGTCCAAAGTTGGCTGGTTCTGGGTCAATGGGTTGGTCCACTGTCAGCCCAGCTACTGCCTCACCCTTATTTTAATTTTGCAGATTTACCTACTAGTGCAGTTTTTTTGTTTGTTTTGTTTTGTTTTTTGTATTACCTCTTGTAATTTAGGTATGTCACCACCAAGTAGTATCAAAGATCTAGCAAGCATCATTATTACAACTGGCCATCTGGAACTTAATGTTTTTAATATGTATGGGATTATTTCATTGGCTTAATTATTTTGTTTAATGTTTTTCTGACTAAGAGAAAAATTAGCTCTTATCTTAACATTGAATTTGAATACACAGTGTTCCTTTGTAATTCACCCTGAATTTTAACATGGTTATAAATCCCTCATGGTTAATTTTTTTATACTGTTTAGATTTCTGTGGTACCAGAGCTATGTGAGGTAAACAGATTGTTTGTTGTATTTAATAACAATCTTTAATTTGTTTTTCCTGTAGAAACCTGTGGAACGTATACTAAAAACATGAGACCAGTATATCCAACAAAAACTTTCCCCAATCACTACAGCATTGTTACAGTAAGCTACACATTTCAATTTTTATGTGCTCACAGAAGTGAGATGTTCAGGGGAATAATTAGATATCAGATCAGAAAAAAATAACTTCTTGTCCATTGTGTAGTTAAGCAAGGAAACCTGGGTTCTGGTCTTTGCTGCTAACTAGCTGTGGTCTTGGGAAGGTCACTTTACCTTCTGAGCCTCGATGTCCCCATCTATGAAAAGAGGTCGTGACTAAAGATCCCAGGAAATGACTTCTAGGTTTTCTTTCAGTTTTAAGATTCTGATTCTTGTGTCCTGTTTCTTCTTGCTGGTTTTATAGCTTAGTTTATTTCAGCCCCAAACTGCCCCGCACTCACATGTTCTCAACTCGTCTTTCCCAGCATCTTGATGAATGAATTTCAGCCAGCCACTTTGCCTGACGTTTTGTTTCAGTAAAAGTTTCCAAATTTAATTTGAATCCAGAAAGAAAGTAGAATTCAGAAAGAAAGTAGAATTCATTAGGCCTTAGGGTTGAAGCCAGAAAATTAATACTTTAGCTTGTATTTATACAAGCTGTTCTCAGACCTAACCAAGAAAGAGTTTGTTCTGCAGAAATGCTTTACTCAGCAATGCAAAAGGACAACAGAGCACTTTTTTTCAAATTTGAGAGGCTGTCTATTTATGTAGACCTTCATCCATAGCATTCCTAACTTATTCTCTCCTATTACGTAATTTAAAACACAAATACTACGTAAAATCTTGACGGGTTGGTTGTGTTTTGACAACACCCATTGTTTTGTTCTTCCCTCCTTAAACTATGTTAAGTTCTTTGTAGCTTCAGTTATCTGTTTCTCTTTGATGATTTTGTCCTGTGACTTTATTTCACATGAAAAAACTCATAACTTGCATAAAACGTGTATTTTGTATTTTTTAGGGACTTTATCCAGAATCCCATGGCATAATTGACAATAAAATGTACGATCCCAAAATGAACGCTTTCTTTGCACTTTATAGTAAAGAAAAATTTAATCCTGAGTGGTACAAAGGAGAACCAGTGAGTTGTTTGTTTGTTTATTTGTTTTGGCTACTAAAATAGTTTTTTTATTATGCTCATTTATTTTAATCAGAGTAAAATATCAGATTCCCTGGAGCTTTTAATAACATATTTCATTTACTGTCTGTGGCCGTCCTTTCGTAAGTGGAGGAAAATGCGGGTCATCCTAAACGCAGATTGTATCCTTATGTAATGAGAGTAGTTTATTTCAGAGCTGGGTTTGGGTTGGGCTGAGCCATTTTTTTTTCTACCTTCTTGTACCAATGGCGTGTAGCACTAGTCTGGGGGTAATATTTTGACTTACACAAAGCTAATTGTTTCTGAAGGAGGTAAACTTTGACTCCATTTGAACATGCTAACTCAGAAGATTCTCTCTGATTGTCATTTAGATGTGTTCTTTTTATTTTTTTAAATTGCCACAATAATTACATAGGGTCTATTTGAGTAGTCTTGATATTCCTCTTAGAAGGAAAAAGAGCATGATGTTTAATTTGCAGGTTATAAATTCAAATTTTAGCTCTGACATTTAAAGCTGTGTGACTTCAGGCACATTATTCTTTCTGTGTTTCCGTTTTCTCCTATTTACACTGTAGATAATACTATTAACTACCTCATAGGGTTATTGTGAGGATTATTTAAATTAATAATCTAGGATGCTTATAGGAATGCTCTTTAGAACTGTACTTGGCGATAATAAGTGCCTAAGTGTTAGTTACATAAGCAAAAACGTCAGTAAATTAAAGATATGTATATTTGTAAATGTTTCTTCTTTTAAGGAGAACCTATTAAGTAGAGGGATGGCTCTGAAAGTTGCAGGAGTTACCAACTGACATAAGTCCATATTTTTAGGTTAATTTTATCTCTAGTTATTTAATTTCTTTTTCTGCTCTTCAGAGTCATGTTATATGATTAATTTGTAGTCTAACTATTGGAGCTGGTTAACCTTAAAAACATTCCAGCACTCGAGAGGGATGCAGTGGTGTTGCATGAATGCATACGTTCCTAAAAGATGAATGTTTGCATAATTTCCTGACTTGCCTTCTTTGTCTTCCCCAGATTTGGCTCACAGCTAACTATCAAGGCCTGAAGACGGGCACATTTTTTTGGCCAGGATCAGATGTGAAAATTAATGGAATTTTCCCAGACATCTATAAAAAATATAATAGGTATGTGTAGATGTACTTTTTCTAGGGCCTATAATATAGAACAGCTTATTTTTACCTCAACTTCTCTTTTTTATCAAGTCCTAAGCTCTAGCATTTGAATGATAATGTTGGCTAACACATGAGAACTGTCTGAATATGGGACTCTATCTCAAACAGTTTTAGATGGTAAATAGTAAAACACGACAAGTTTTTTTCTAGAGGTTTTCTAGAAAGCAACCTGTGGAGTTGGCATTCAGATCTTTGGGCAGAAATAAAAGATGAAGTCATGGTGAAGGTAGAGGTCTCAGAGTGGAGGCACTGCACAACTTTAAGAAGAAAAAGAACTAGGAGAAGGAGATGAAAGTATTAGAGGACTCAGTAGGAATGACTCTCTGGTATCTGGAAATATGATTTAAAAGAAGATGTTAATGGCATCTCTGGATTTGCATTTACAAATTACTTTAATAAATATGCCATCTAGTGTGAGAAACTGATTAGAATAACCTTCCTATGATATTCAAAATCAATGAGGTATTGAGGAAAAAAACAGAAACTTTTTTTCTGGAAAACTCCCTTTGGATAATTTTAGTGAGACTACCAAAATAATTTTATTTATTTTACACTTAGGAAATTTATGTCACAAAATCAATACAACATTGGATTTGGAGGACTAACAGAAAAGACCATAAATTCCAGACAAGAAGCGCATAGTGATTTTCTTTGGCAATCTTATGCTGTTGTTTATTCTTCAAACCATGAAGAATAAACATGAGCACAGTGCAGTGCCACTTCCCACCTTATTATTTGCCATTATTTTTTTTCCATGGATGGTAGTTGATATTTTATGTGCCATGAACTGTGCTAGGCATGTGAGATCCAAAGATTAGTGATATATGTTCTCTGGTTTCTCAAGGGCTAATAGAGAATGCAACTAACTGTACTTGGGTTGAGCAAGGACTCTGATGGACTTATGTAAACAAAATCCTGCGCCCAGAGGAAGGCGTAATTAATTCTGCAAAAGAATTGTTGCCTGGGGAACTGTCTGCTCCTCAGGAGCCCACTTCCCAATTTTACTAAGAGACTTCAATGAGCGAGTTCTTCATGAGACACCCTTTGAGGGGTGTATTGACATGTGGGTTTTTCATGTGGTAACAATTGCTATTCTCGGGGACAGGAATAATATCCTCAAGTAGAGTATAGGAAGCAAATTTTTAAGCCCAATTACAACTTTCATATGTGTAAAACCTAACTTTCGTTCCTTTGTTGGGAAGACAAATTTACATTTTCAAATAAAATTGCATTGCTTCAAACACAATTGATACACTGGATTGTTTTAGTCTCCCTTAATGTAATTTTTGGTAAGAAAAACATTTATATTTTAAACCCAACACTTGTCACAAGTTTGTTTCATTTTGTTTATCCTTAATTTTAGTACAGTACCATATGAAGAAAGAATTTTAGCTGTTCTTAAGTGGCTGCAGCTTCCTAAAGATGAAAGGTATGTAGATGACTGATTTCTGCTGTAAATACGCCTTTGTTTTGTAGAAATTACACAATATTTTAAAACAGATGATAAGAAAACTTGGTTATTGGCTATGATGTTTTATATCCAAATGTGAGCTGTTACAGCCACATTGTGAAGAATTCCAAACCTGTAAGTTATTTCTCAGCGAGTTTAGAAATTACCCCCATGTTGTATAATTTGTATTCACTATCAACTGTTGAATTATTCTTTCCATTCTGTTCACAATGTGTTCATAAAATATTACATTTTGATACTGTTTGATTTAGACCACACTTTTACACTCTGTATTTAGAAGAACCAGATTCTTCAGGTCATTCATACGGACCAGTCAGCAGTGAAGTAAGTACATCTTTATCAATGATTACTTCATTAAACCTGGTAACATCTAACTGAACCTTGCTTTGAAGCAGGTTTCTAGACCATTCTGTGAGATTCCATGATTTCTGAAGAAAGTGAGTATGAAGCACATTTTTACTAAACCAAAAGATGTACTTTAATCAAAATAAGAGTTGGGAGAATTGTTTTGTTTACACTTTCCACAGTGCTAAATTGACCTGATGATGAATTAAATTCTAGATTTTCAATTCCAAAGCCTTTATCCACTCCATATCTCCCTACATTAGCCTAAAAAGTAAGTGCTTTTTGAAAATGTTGTAAATGGGTAAGACTCCAATTTTCTATGAAAATGTAAGATAATATGTCAAATAGCAGAAGCAGCCTCCTATGAACTCTCCTCCTTAGGAGATATATCTCTGACTTTCCGAGACCATGCTTACAACAGAGCCCGAGCATGGAAGGGTGGGAGATTTTGTCAAAAGTTTAGGGAAATTCAAGTAATCATTGTTTGAGTGCTTACTAGGAAACTAGAAATGAGGAAACAGTTCATGGACTAATGCTTTCAATCTAAATTCTTATTTGACCTGACACTGTTTTAGGAACTTAGCCTGCTCCTGGCTATGTTTGTATTTGGTATAGTGCTTTAAAACATCAAATACTGCTTTTAGTTTTCGTGTGGGCATGTCATTTTTGTATCTTGGAGCACAGGAAGCATTAGAACAGAAAATGGTTTGAGCTTCTTTCCTGGTCCCTCTAAGCTGACTTTCCTTATGATTTATAGTTTATCTGTGACCTAAGATAGGAGAAGAAACAATAAGGAAGGATCTGTGAATATTGTGGCTCATAATGAAAGGGAGAAGAGGTCTGGCCAGGATCCCTAATCTCAGAATCCCTATCTACCTATCTTTTGCCCCAGGTGATTCCAACAGATAAAAGATAAAAGACTAGGAAAACACACTCTTCCTTGATAGAGTTTCACTCCCGAATCCCCATCCCAGGGAGCCCAGGCTGGACAGTTTGTGAGCCTCAGGGACTCTTTAGCACAAGGTCCAGACTAAAGCCTGGCCTGACATGTCCATTGTGAGCCTGTTTCTGAGGGTGCTGCTGCTCTAAATGCTCACTTCAGAAACAGCAGAAGAAAGAGAGAAAACGTGCTCATTTTTCTCACTTGAATGCAGCTGCCTAAACCACCTTCGCCTACTTTCCATTACCCTGGGCTTACCCTAGGTTTGCCCCTCTTAAAGAGTGGGTTCCTCATGGGTGCCATCTCATCAGATACAAGAGAACAGAGAGAGAGGGAAGCTTACCCTCATGTGGGTCTATATTTACTGTTGTCTTCTTTCTCTCTGGCAGCTCCCATGTAGTTAGTAACCTATGTGTCCTTCCTTTGATTCTGCCCTTCAAGCAGCAATGCTCCTTCTTAGAGGTGAGGTAAGGAAGGTATGTGGCCAGCAGTGTGGCCAGGTCTAATTGGTCAAAGGGAAAAGTTTCTTGTAGCTATTATCTGGGTTCCAACAATTGCCCAGATGCTAGTATAATTTTTATTCTTTCACTAAAGTCACTGACACTTAAAACCCATGTCTAGGTCAGTGTGGCTACAAGTAAATCTGAGAATTATTTTGTAATTGTTTGATTATCAGGTCATATAAGTTTTAAAATCAGTGCTACCTTTTGTAATTCACTAAAGATTTTCCAAAGTACCCTCATTCATCTTCATTCAAAGTTGAGCCCATTGGTTTGCAAATCATTCACCAACTTGTAAACTCTCTTAAACTCTCATGTAAGTGGCACATCAAAACCCGTTTTATCTTAAAAATTCCAATTCATGTTGCTTGGATATCTTTGAGTGAATGAAAGATTGTATTGAAAGAGCTTGTTTCATATTACAGTGAAATACACTGACCATAAATAAAGATTAGACTAATTTGGTACATTACAGAAAACACTTGCAAATATCTCATGCCCTTCCTGTCTTACCTGACTGTCTTAGCCTAATGTGAGTCGGTTCATCAGAGTATTTGCATCCATTGCACTTTTTCTTTCTTCGCAGAGATAGCTTTATATAGAAGCAGCCTTTAGTATATAATGCATCACGTGAGATTGCTTCCCTTCCTTAGGTCATCAGAGCTTTGCAGAGAGTTGACAACGTGGTCGGCATGCTGATGGATGGTCTAAAAGAGCTGAAGTTGCATCGATGCCTGAACCTCATCCTTGTTTCAGATCATGGTAATCTAAATTTTCATCATTTCCCTTTCAAGTTAAATGGTGCCCCCCAAACGTTTGATTGATTATTGTTTCATTGTTTCCTCTGATTGTTATAGTTAATTCTTTTTTTGAAATGTTGTTTCTTGTGGAAAGTCTTAGGAAAAAATTATATTCAATATAAAGTACAAGTGAAATACAGAATTCACAGAGACCCACCAGCCTATCTGCCACAGTGCACCCATCTGCTGATTTGGGGAAGGCTTGCACCAGGAATTTGGATAGTTAAAAAAAAATTTTTTTTCAATATTAAATTTTAGTAAATCTACTCTAAGAATTTTAGATTTAATTTGTACAGAATGTTAGGTACTTTTATTTTCTTTAGCATGATTAATCTGACTTTAGAGGGAGTTTATGTTAATTTTGGCAATATTTTAATTTCCCTTTTACTTGCTGTGATCTTTATAACACATGTTTGTGCATGGCTTTGGGACTATAGAAATGGTATGTATACAAGAAAATAGAAAACAGGTTCTTTTTATTTGTTTGTTTTTTCTTATTGTTATTGTTGGTTGCTTCAGAAGTAATTACTGAAAACTATTTCTAGAAACAATCCTAAGAGGCTATATTTTAAAGAAGCTCTGGTCCTGGAATGAGACTGAGAGTTTTATACTCCCAGTTAACATCCTAGGTGATTTTGGAAAAAGAACCAGGCTTTCATATTCAGTCTAAAACTGTGATATTCCTCCTCACTCACATAAAGATATTGTAATACATAAATAAGAAGAAACATTAAACTTTGGATGAAGGAAAGGGAAAAGATTTTTTAAAAGTGGTAGAAAAAGCTGAAATTCTGTGTCTTACTGATTGGATGTTCAACTAACATGAGTGCTGAACACATGTTTAGTGAATTAAATTCTGGATGTAAAAGAAATTCTATTCTGTGTATTAAATTTTTCATTAAAGTTGCAACATGTTTTGGGATTTTTTTTCTCCTAGGCATGGAACAAGACAATTGTAAGAAATATGTATACCTAAATAAATATTTGGGAGATGTTAAAGATATTAAAGTTATATATGGACCTGCAGCTCGACTCAGACCCTCTGATGTTCCAGATAAATACTATTCATGTAAGTATATCTCTATACTAACTTTGAATATGATTCGGTTCAAAATACATTCCTCTAAATCATCCTATCTCCAAACTAAAGTGGATCAACTGATTTCCTTTTCATGATTAAAAATCCAGTGCAGATCTTCTGCACCCAAAGGGATTTTATGGAACTAGATGTGAGGATACAAGTCTAACTACTTATATATTTGTTGTTCATGGCCCGAGCATGTTATTTGATGAGCTTAGTACAATTTTACGTTGTAGTGTGTGTTTTGCTTGGATTAGGTTCAAGATTACTTGTACTAGGAAAAAAGAAAAAAAAACCTAAAAGTTCAGCTACCTTTATTCAACTTTAATTAATGACATTCCATTAAAATAACTTCCAGATGTTGCAGAATAATATTCTATTATGAGAAGGAATGCTGGCCGAGATGGTTAATTCTATAACCACTGATTTCTGTCCTCAGAAATGACTTTATTAAACCATTCAAAAAAACAGTAAGAATATATTTTATAAACAGAGGAGAAGAAGAAATTTTACGTTCTCTCTTGACCACATGTCGAACCTAAACTTTGAAATATTAATTCTTTTGCAAGTCAAGCCTGTTTCAAAACTGTACCTCTGTTTATGCCACTCTTTTGGATTGCCATCCTTGGTAACTTTCAGATCCCCAGTGCAAATTTTGTTTATCTTTTTGTTACACTGAACTTTGAAAAAGAAAGAAAAAAAAGCTTTTGTGACAGTTAGCAGAATTGGGTTAGTTTTGGGCACTGCAGTGCTGTGTTTCAGTGGATTCTGTTGTATATTCATGGGGAGAAATAGATTTCACTGCAGGAAAATGGTTTTGCAAATATATTAACATAGTGACCCAAAACGCTATAGCATGACAAGTTTTAATTACTATTTTTTAAAAATTTATAAAAGTAGTACATGATGGTTATAAAACCTCTTATAAAAACTATAGGGGCAATGGCAACCCCCAGAGATGTTTAGAATGGGATGGCCAAGCTTTAGCCACACCCTTATCTCAACTAGGCCCTCAAGTTTCCCCAATTAAGTAAAAACTTTATCTGTTTATCTACATACATACATACATACATAAAATGTATATACAATACATATTCTCTTATCTGGATAATTTTCTTAAACTTATGTAAAGTGTAGCTCAAAGACTCTTAAAAAGCTGGACAGTTACTGATTTGTAGCACAAAGTACGCTGAGTAAGTACACTGTGGGCTTGCTATGCAAATTCAGTTTCAAAACTATTCTGCTTGCCCTCTCTTCCAAGTCCCTCTGTGTCCCTCTTATTTGGAAATTCTGGAATTATCAGTGAATATCAAAGTATATAAAGTGAAAAGTGATAGTTTCCCACCCTAAACCCCCCTAATTCATAACTCAATTCCTCTCTCTGGAGATAAGGGATGGCGTGTGTCTTCCCAAATATTTTCCCTGCATATGTAAAACACATCCATTTTATTTTTACCAAGTGAAATCACACAAGATCTAGATAGATGGATGGAGGGATGGATATTTGGATACATGGATAGATACATGAACAGATGGTTGGATAGATGGATGTTTTGTGACTTGCCTTTTCATTTAACAGTTTGACATAATTTCACAGGCATGGCGGGGAGAGTGGTTCTAAAGATCTGTCTTATTCCTGTCAATGGCTAATATATAATGATTTAAATGAGCTGTTTGAAACCCGCTTTGGTATTTAAAGATAGGATTTGGGTCTGACATTCTATATTTTTCTATTATTTTTGTTTCTAATTGTAGCATACTGTCAACTATTAATTCTTATCTCTGTCCCCCTTCAGTTGATTATGAAGGTGTTGCCAGAAATCTCTCTGTGAGTATCTTTATTTTTCCATTATCTAATTATTTTTAGTTTTGTATAATATATATTTAGAAAAAAGTTCAGTATTTACTCTTGGGATTGTAGGATTTGAATTTTTGAGGATCTGGGCCAACTTTTAACTGCTCTATAGTTCTTAAAGCTCTTTAAGGACACGTCCCAATAATCTAGATTTGAAAGTTTTTAAGAATTTATTTATTGACATTGTTAAATTTATACGACAGGACAAAGAAATAATTGAAAACAATAGAAGGTAAAAACCTATAGCTGTACCACCATAAGCACTGTTAGCACTGTGATATATTTCCTACCAGTCTTTTTTTTATGCCTATTTTTTTTTGTGAGGAAGATCAGCCCTGAGCCAACATCCCTTGCCAATCCTCCTGATTTTTGCTGAGGAGGATCGGCCCTGGGCTAACATCTGTGCCCATCTTCCTCCACTTTATATGGGACGCCACCACAGCATGGCTTGCCAAGCAGTGCGTCGGTGCGCGCCCGGGATCCGAACCAGCGAACCCCGGGCCGCCGCAGCGGAGCGCGCGCACTTAACCGCTTGCGCCACCAGGCCGGCCCTATGCCTATTTTTTAAAGTAAATTTTTGTCCTAGTGCTGAGTTTTCTATACTACATATTTTTTTTTTTTACTTGATAGAATACAAGAGTGTTTGAAAATAGGATCATCTGTAGTAACTTGAATGTAATCTAGTGACCCAGTCTAAGCATCCTGGGACTTTTATGCATTAATTAGGATTTCCTGTAAAAATAAGAATATTCAATAGGTGGGAATATTGAACTTGTACATTATACTAGTAGTAAGAACTCCGTTATTTTTGCATGTGTGACTTCCTGGGCATGCTGGTAAAGTATTGTGAGAAAAAATTCATATGGAGTTAGAAAACAATTTCAAGAGAAGTTTACACCTAAGAAAATATGGAAATAATGTTTTATCTTTGCCTTCTACTATTTTAGTGCCGGGAACCAAACCAGCACTTCAAACCTTACCTGAAACATTTCTTACCCAAGCGTTTGCACTTTGCCAAAAATGACAGGATTGAGCCCTTGGCTTTCTATTTGGACCCTCAGTGGCAGCTTGCATTGTAAGTTCTGACAGAGCCCCCGGTAGACTTAGCCCAATCTATTAGGAATTCAAGGTCACCGTGGGGCCCTTTCCAACAATGTTGTTACATGAAAACTGCACAAGTATGATTCTCTTCACTCTGTCCCAGGGTTTCTCAACCTTGGCCTATTGATGTATTGGATCAATCATTCTTTTTCATGGGGAGCTGTCTTGTATATTCTGGGATGTTTGAAAGCATCTCTGATTTCTACTCACTAGATGAAAAAGCACCCTTTCTATAGTTGTGACAACCAAAAATGTTTCCAGACATTGCCCGAGTCCTCTGGGGAGGGGAGATCACCCCCCATCTCAGAATCACTGCTCTGTCTGCTCACATACGTATTGATTATTTCTTTTTTTTTTTTTTGAGGAAGATCAGCCCTGAGCTAACATTCATGCTAATCCTCCTCTTTTTGCTGAGGAAGACTGGCTCTGAGCTAACATCTATTGCCAATCGTCTTTTTTTTTTCCCCCAAAGCCCCAGTAGATAGTTGTATGTCATAGTTGCACATCCTTCTAGTTGCTGTATGTGGGACGCGGCCTCAGCATGGCCGGAGAAGCGGTGCGTTGGTGCGCGCCCGGGATCCGAACCTGGGCCGCCGGTAGTGGAGCGCGCGCACTTAACCCCTAAGCCATGGGGCCGGCCCAGTATTGATTATTTCTTATGTTCCACATTTGTTACCAGTTGTCACTGTATCTTTTCTGCATGTTACAGTTATGCCGAATACCTTCCAAGTCCACAAATAAGTGTCAACAGCTCTTTACTTTATAATAATGAGCAATTACCTTCATCATTATACAGAGTTGTTTTTTCATTCTTGTTATACTAATCCATCAATACACGTCAGTTTATTGGTGAGTTCGGCAAATTATTTGGATGGTTAATAGTGTTAACATCTCAAAACTTTATCATTGGGGCCGACCCTATGGCTTAGCGGTTGAGTGCATGCGCTCCGCTACTGGTGGCCCAGGTTCGGATCCCGGGCGCACACCGACCCACCACTTCTCCGGCCATGCTGACGCCTCGTCCCACATGCAGCAACTAGAAGGATGTGTAGCTCTGACATACAACTATCTACTGGGGCTTTGCGGGGGGGTGGGGAAACTTTATCGTTAACTCTTTCTGATGGTTGCCAGGAAGCCGGGGATGATGAATACCCCATCAAGCAAGACCTAAGCCGTGAACCAGAATTCAGTCAACAGAGTGGCACTCTCTGCTTTATTAGAGAGCTGAGCTTTTAGTGTTTGGAAGAGAAGAGGAAAGAAGGGATGGTCTTCCCCCTCCTGGGAGAACTAATATTTAGTGAACATCTACTGTGTTCCAAGCATTTCTTTAGGTTAAACTGTTTAATTTTTACAAACAACCCAACATGACAAAATTGAAACCTAGAGAAGATAAATTGCCAAAGTCACAGCTAGTAAATAGCACAGTCAGGGTTCAGAACCAGCCTGTCTGAAGGCTGGTGGTTTTTCTCCTTTGTACCATGTTGCTTCTGGTTGATTTGTCTACAGAATAAAAGATAAAGGTGGCCCCTTCATGCTTTTCAAAGCCAGGTGGTTTTATTTACCGTTTTTGCTTTGTTTAACAAAATACTTCCTTATTCTTTATTAATGAAAATAATACTATGGTTATCTATTTTGCTGAATGGACTTATAATTCACATTATGTAAAAATTAGGAATCCTTCAGGAAAGAAACCTTGTGGAGGTGGATTTCATGGCTCTGACAACTTAGTTTCAAATATGCAAGTGAGTAAATCTATTTTACTCTTTAAAAAAATGATAGTTTATATCTGAAGAAAAACTGGTATGTGAAGTTTTAGACTTAAAAACACAGATTGTGATTATATGTCTTGCATAAGAATTAATGAAGCTTATACTTTCATATAGCTATCTTTCTTTGGACATTAAATTAATAGAATTTTGTTAAAGTTTTATATTCACATTTCATGAACATGTGACTTATACCTCCTACTAAATTTCTAATAATTTTTCGTGTGTTATGCTCCATTGAGATTATTGCTCCATAGTAAATGAAAGCCAGTGATTTAATAGGTGAAAAGATATCATACTTATGTGCTAAGTGAAGATAAGACCTTACACTTACCTAGTACTTTAAAATTATTTAAATATACTCATAGTAATCATCTAATTTGATCCCTACAGCACTGTGTGAGGTGGGCAGGGTGAGGTTGATGTCCCATTTCATAGATGAAAAAGGATTTCATCATCCATTCTGTTCTGACTGTCAAGTCAGAATTGTAGTAAAGCTGAGAGAAATACCCTACATGTCCTTAGATTAAATGTGCAATGGGGGTTAAAATGATATCCTACAAAGTCCCTTGGGCATAGTATTTTTCCCCTTATCTTAACATAGCCACTTTATATATGTACAGTATGGATAATACAAAATAGTTTTTGACCAATTACATACATGACTGAAATGAATTGATAAGCAGTTACTTTTCTGGCCAATCTAGGCCCTCTTCATTGGCTATGGACCTGGATTTAAGCACGGCACTAAAGTGGACTCCTTTGAAAATATCGAAGTCTATAACTTAATGTGCGGTAAGTGTGAACAGGCAGCTTTCACCCCTTCTGAAAACAGAGCTGGAGTAGGATTATCACAAGTAGGTCACATAGTGGGAGATGATGACGAGGCCAGACAGACCCTCTCATTTCCTTCTTCCTCCTGACCCAGAGTCGTTGGAAAAATGTGCAGAACATACCGTCTGATTGCTAACCTGTTTCTTCTCCTAGGCTGCCCGCTAGTGGAAGGGCAGGGCCGTGTGTCCATCCCTAGCGCCTAGCACTTTGCCAGGCCCTGGGCTTAATTACGTGACAATTGAGTCAGATCAGGGCTGGGGGCCAGAGAAATGAGCCTGGAGGCTGTGAAAGGTGGACAAACCGGGCAGAACCACTGGTAGCAGTAATCATTGAATGGATGGCAATGTCAAGCTTATAGAAGTGGAGGAGGGCCATTAGATTATTCTTGGTTTACTCTATCCCTTCCTAATTAGTGTTTTTATGGTTGGGTATTGCATTTTAAATATCACTTCCTTTTTTGGATAATGATACTGGGCATTTGCAAAACCTTAAATATGTCCTAAGTTGAATTCTTTTAGTGGGAGCCTATGTACTTAAATGAGTTAATATATCCTAAAGCACTTGGAACAGGGCCTGGCATAGTAAATGCTTTACTATATAAGTGTTAGCTATTATTATTATTAAGAGCAGGAGTCCTAGACTCAGAGCTAATTTTGAATCCTAGCTGGTTTTGACTACATTAGTAGCTCTGAGACCTTGAGCAAAGCACTCTGATTACTCATCGACCAAATACTGACAATAACTTATTAAATTGTCTTGAGGATTAAGTAAGAAAGACATATTAGCACAGTGATTGGCATTTCATAAGCATTCAGCAGGTGATACTATAGTTTTTATACACATGAAAATTCAGAAATTTTTATAGAAAAATACGGTATACATATCAGTATTTCCAATGAGAATAGCGTAGTCATAAATGCTCTAAAATCTAAGGACGTTTCATAATTTTATCTTAGGTAAAGAGTAAAGGACTTGCATAGATTTGATTTTAAAAAAATGGTTGACTTGTACTATGATTTTTATTTATTTGGTTTTGAAACTTCTAAGTGACTCTTTACCATTCTTGGAATTATGCAGATTTACTGAATTTGAGACCAGCTTCCAATAATGGAACTCATGGAAGTCTTAACCACCTTCTAAAGAATCCTGTTTATACCCCAAAGCATCCCAAAGAAGTCGGCTCCCTGGTACAGTGCCCCTTCACAAGAACCCCCAGAGATAACCTTGGCTGCTCGTGTGATCCCTCGGTAAGTATTGCTGAGAAATTTAGCCCTCTGTGTGTGACTGTATAGCACCCTCTCTGGAGCATGTGCTGTAAAAGTACTTAATGATCAAATTGAAACTTATAAGTGGAAGTAAACATATTTATTTTTAATTCTAGTGACACATGCAGACCTTGTATTATTTATTATTCCTCTTCCTAGTTTTTGCATTTTCACCTCTATTTTTATCCTTTGGTGCTGTGACTTGACTTGGGTGCACGTTGAGAGAAGTCTAGCTGAGTCCTTGAGCATCTGGAATCCTAGAATCTGTGTCATATCCTATCAGTGAGGTCTTGATTATGAACCAATCACAATATTCCTTCTGTAGAATACATCCCGACCTATTTTAAATTTAGGGGGAAAATATCATTTTTTGGTATGAAATGGATATATGGCACTGTTCCTTTTTTACCCCTATTTTAATATATAGTTGTTGTACCAAGATAAAAATATGTGACAAGTTATAAACAAAATTGATCGCATCCATAAAGATAGAAATTTGGAGAGTAGCTGATTTGATGCTTTCCATTTTGTTTTAGGCTTGTAGAAAGACTAAGAGTAGATATAAGAATTTATAAAGCAGCAATTATATTATTTTTCAGTTAATATTGTGCTATGCTAACAATTTTGTCTTTTTGTAACCATCACTCCTATCCTTTTATCTTCATTAAAAAAATAACTTTCACTTGTACAAGATGGTTTAAAATGTTATCTTTGTTCTATGATGGAATGATTAAGCTATGGAAGTTGTCTGTTACAAAATTAAAACATGTCTTTTAATCCTTAGAAATAGTGTTATTAACTTTTTTAGATTTTGCCAGCTGTGGATTTTCAGACACTGTGGAATCTGACCATGGCAGAAGGTAAGGCGTGTTTACTCTTGAACTTGGAATGTGGGAGCAGGATTTTTCTGAACGGTGTGAGACAGAGAATTGGTTTGGGGGCATTACTTCAGAAAAACCAATAAAATAAAGGGAGTAATGGAGGACCACCTGATGAAACATAGAGATTTCTTTGCTTGACAGTCTAGACTGTTTGTCGTAAGGAAAGGGACATTTGCAGTGGAAACAGCATGTAATATATTTAATGGAAGCTGAATCACTTTTTATGAACATAGTGGAAGTGTTTTTATAGGTTTATAATAGATCCTCAGATTTCCACTTAAAATACCTATTAAATCTCTATTTCATTTGGTTCCTAGTTAATTACAAGAGAGTATAAATTATTCATATAAAGTTATTTCTTCATAACTTTTAAATAAAAATAAAGAATATGCAGCTACCTGATGAAATTAGTTGGTTGTGGCTTCACTGTTCAGCGTCACTTTGATATGGTCTCTGATCCTTAAGTTACTGGGCTCAGAGTTGTTTCCTGCTGGAATAAAAAGGTGAATTCTGCACTATTCCTGATTTAAACTTGTCTATATAAAATTTATGTAAATGTTTGCATTAGAGAAATCTCTGATGATCCCAAGGTAGCAAAGTGTTTTGCTGAAGAATGACACTTCTGGAATTGAATAGATCTAGGTTTGGATATGACCTTAGGAACTATGTGTCCATGGAAAAAGCATTACTCCCTCTGAGCTGCTGTTTTCTCATCTGTAAAATGGGTGTGTAACCTTAATTCATAGGGATCTATAAGAATTAAATCAGATGCTGTAAACAAAGAACTCTACAAAGCACTTGACACTTGGGCAAAGGACAATAAACAGTATATACTATTACTGTTTCATTCAGTTTAGTCTCATAATTTCAGTTCTTAAATTTTGCTTTCCAAGTACACACATCATCCAGAAAATTTTCCTTCTGGAGTGTATCCTGAAGAACAAGTAATTAAAATAATGTGAAAGAATTTTGGTAATATAATTTATGTCCTAATTGCCGAAATTTCTAGCAATTTCATGTAGTGTCTTCTTGTGACATCTTGATGTTGCGTGGGTCTTTCAGAATCTTCATAGGTAAAAACTGCACTGAATCCCTTTTGTTTTCTTAATTGTTTATGGTTCTGCTCTTTGTAATTAGATTTTTTTTACAGTTAAAAATAATTATGTTAAGTGAAATAAGCCCGAGAAAGACAGACACTGTATAACTTCACTCACATGTGGAAGATAAACTCACACACGGACAGAGAGAACAGTTTGGTGGTTACCAGGGGGAAGGGGGATGAAGGGTGGGTACAAGGGGTGAAGGGGCGCATTTATATGGTGACTGACAAATAATAATTTACAACTGAAATCTCACGTTGTTGTAAACTATTATGACGTCAATAAACAAATAATAATTTTTCAATAGGGTTAAGTAGAGGAAAGAATTAGAGGAGTGTATCATTATATATTATTATATAATGCACACTAAGTACGTTTAAATGGTGGTTTTATTTTCCCGATACAACCTAAGAGGAGATTATTAAGCGTGGCACTCTACCCTATGGAAGGCCCAGAGTTCTCCAGAACAGCACCATCTGTCTTCTCTACCAGCACCAGTTTGTGAGTGGTTACAGCGAGGACATCCTGATGCCCCTTTGGACGTCCTATACTGTCAACAGAAATGCAAGTATTTGTCACCTCTTTAGCTATGGGTGGTTGTTCAAATTATCATTAAGCAAAACATGGAAAAGAGTAGTTTCTCCCGGTTAATCTTGGCTCTATAATCAGTTCCCAAAGTAGAAGATCTCTGAACCAGGAGTCAGGAAAATTAAGTTCCAGCTCTGCCCCTAACTAGCTGCATGACTTTGAGACTCAGAGCACCTTTCTTCCCCTGTGAAATGAGGGTGTGCAGTCAAGAATTCTCCTTTGCTTTTTTTTTTTTTTGGTTTTGATATTTTATGATTCTAATTTCTTGAAATCAGTTTTAAATCAGTCACAATTATTCATCTCTAAATACATAGCTGTGTGAGCACAAGGATTTCCCTCAGCTGCCCAAGTCTCAGGGGCTCCCCACTGATGGAGAAGGAAGGCCATTAAACTCAGTAATACCACTGCATATGCCATCTATGGGAAGACCCCCCAGACCCAACTGGGGAGAGGCTGGGGATCCTGTCCATCTCCCAGACCAGAGGAGCTAGGCCTTGAAAGGAGTGGGGAAAATATCCCAGAATAAGACCACCATTCCCCCACCCCCACCCCCTGGGTGCCATGGTGGAAAGAAAAATGGTGAAGGAAACAGACCTGGGAAGAGAGAATAGGGGGAGGAGATGAGATTTACACCTGACCTGGAATTGAAGTTTAAATTAGACCAACCAGATTTTCAGAAACTGAAAGTATCTGGCAAGCTCTTGGATGCCCTTGGGGGGTGGAAAGGGGATTCCAGAGTGCTTAGTTGAGTTGTATTTAAAAAATAAAGCTATTGTTAATACTCACCGAGATTGCTAAATAAAGAGATAGAGATATGTGTGTATATATGTAGTTTCTGTGTTTAAAAAATATATATATATCATACACATTTACATAAAGTTTCTACCTTAAACTTGATTTTTTAAAATTTTTGAAGACTATCTTCAAACACTTGAAACACTTCTTACTTGACTTTGTATATACAGCAGTCTGCACAATGTTTTATGGGTCCTCATCCTATTTATTGTTGTTTAATACCTTAATTATGGTGTTCTTTGATTCTGTTTGAATTTTCAGTTTTCTTATATAATCAACACTGCATAAATTCACAGTCATCACTACTCCCGAGGTTTTCCTATTGCATTGTTATTCAGTGACTCCCACCCCCCCACCAACTTTAGTCTGTGTAGTCGAGTATGGAAGATAGGCTCAGATCTCTAAAAATCAGCAATTTACTATATAAAAATTTGAAATTGAGTAATCAAGAACATGATAAACAAAATTAGTACAACTTAATAGGAAAATATTTGCACATATATGACAAATGATTAACATCCTTAATATTGTAAAGAGTTTTTGCACTCCAGTTGGAAAAAAAGACGATTACACCACTAGAAAAATGGAAAATGGTGCAGGATGTGAACAGACAACCAGAGCTCCATCAGTTTTCCATGTGGTTCACCTTTCACTATTTATCGTCTCCTTTTCTTCTGTAGGCCTCATACCTGACGGTTCTTTTCATTTTGTTTTTCAGGACCGCTTCTCTACAGAAGACTTTTCCGACTGTCTCTATCAGGATCTTCGAATTTCTCTTAGTCCTGTCCATAAATGTTCATTTTATAAAAATAACGCTCAACTGAGCTATGGGTTCCTCGCCCCGCCACGTAAGTTTCTTCCCCCCGACCGTCCCTCTCCCTCCTTTCTCTTCCTTTTCTTTCTTATGGAGGCAGTGTACATTGTCTTGTTTATTTATTGGTGAAAATTGTCAATGAGAAATATAACTATTAGGGAAAGTTTTAAAGTGCTTAAAACTTGAGTTTTAGGAAACTTTTTACTTTTGTTTGGAGGGTGGTTGATTCAGTGCAGACACTGTGGATAGGACATTCTTCACTTGCTGCATTTCTTTTAAACAGAATTTGGGCAAACTCAGGGAGGTCACAAGGATGCAGCAGGGTTCTTAGGAAGGAGATATCATTTTGTTGTTTAAAAAGAAAAGTGTAATTTGTCGGCGAGTTAGGTAAAAGTAGAGACTGATGCGCTTGCCTTTTCGCCGAGGCAGAGCCCCTAGGGAATGGCTTTTTTTCCCCAGTTAAGTGTTCTAGTTTTTCAAGTGGCAAATGTGTATGTTAATAAGAAGACATTTTGAGGCTGGCCTTAAAAGGCAAAAATCCAAAGGCTCCAGGTGCTCAAAAACCCGAGTCCAGTCCCCAGAGTGAGTGTCTGAAGTCAGAACTTGGCTGTTGCTTTATAAAAGCAGACCAGTTCCAAGCCGCAAATCCATACAAAGAAGCCTTGTGCAGCCTTTCGAGGCGGACACCCTGTGACGTTTTTTCTGGGTAGTAGGTATTGTTCTGAAGCCAGATTTTCTCTTTTTTCTTTTCACTGTGAAAGAGTGTAAGGAAAGAAGATTGTCCACACAATATGCTTTAGTTGAAATAAGGCCGATAAGGGAAAATTTGAATATATTTAATTTTGGACCTTTCTTATTATAGTTTTTGTTTCTTTGATAAATTCACCTTGAAGAATAAAAGATCTAAATATTTTGTTTTTTTTAAGGGACTTGACCAAACACATTGCATTTTTACTGGACCAGTACCTGGGAAAGTTTTACAGGTTTAAGATGATACTCAGCTAATTTTTTAAAGTGCCCCCCATGAGAGATTATAATTTCTAATGTTATTTGGGAAGAATGAAATAGTTGTTTTCTCTATTTCCTTTGTAGAACTAAATAAAGGTTCCAGTAAAATATATTCTGAAGCATTGCTTACTACTAATATAGTGCCAATGTACCAGAGTTTTCAAGGTAAAACATTTTAACCCTATATCTCATAATTTTAATGATTTTCTGTACATTATAGGTGTAATTTATATGTAATAAGACTGATGCTTTAAATTAAATGACTAAATATTAAATACATTCTTATAGATTTGTTTAACTTTGAGAATACCAGTACACAGAAAATTCTGCAAGCATTGAATTACGATGTATTCCAATATCTATTATTCTGCTTTGTATTTAAATGTTTATAAACACTTTTGGTGGAAAAAGTATGTAATGTTATTCCTAAGTTATCTAGCTAATACAGTCTACTAGCGCTTATATTAATTTCAGTCCGTTTCTGTATTTAACTATTTGGAAGTTCTTGATAATTATTTTTGATCTTAAAATGAATAGATTTTATGTCATTATTAATTATTGCAGCATTTGGCTCTTACAAGAATAAATATACATTTACACTTCAAGTGACATAGAATTTCAAAATATACAGCATACAAGGCGATTTTTACTCTACTTTTTATCTAGAATGCTTGTGACTATTTCAAAGGGAATATTCAGAAATTAACAATGAATCTGAATAACCCGCCTTGCTTGTGTTCATGATTTTTTTATGCTGAATGAAGAAATGTGATCACAAATCCATGATGATGTACCTGCTCAGGGAGGCCTGAAATAGAGTTGAATTCAATATTTGCCCATTAGTCCTTCCAAAGGCCAGAGCCGAACAACGGATTTTTGGCCTCACACTAAGACCGAAGCCAAACTTGAGTTCATCTCTAATTACTACAAATGCTAATTTTGAATCATGGTGTTGATTTATTTCACACGACAGCATGGCACCTTGTTCTTCTGAAACTGCACTGTCTTCCTCCTTATTTCAGTTATATGGCGCTACTTTCATGACACTCTACTGCCAAGGTACGCCAAAGAAAGAAGTGGCGTCAATGTTGTCAGCGGTCCCGTGTTTGACCATGACTACGATGGACGTTTTGATTCCTGGGAGACTCTGAAGCAGTAAGAACGCACTTCCTTTCCTCTTAAAAACAGCTATCAAGTGGGATTACTCTCCAGTTGAGTCAGCAGAACCTTTTCCATCTGATACTATTCGTGTTAACATACGTGATATTTCTGATTACACTGGAAGCCCCTTGAAACATCTGGTTAATTTTGATGTTTTGCTCAGTGTTCATAAAATATTTTTAGGTAAAAGAAGTAGAGTTTCTCCCCCACTCTGCTCAGATGAGTAATTCTTGAGCTTAGATTAAATACTGAACTCGGCCACATGTTAAGAAGATAACTCTATGTGTGGCTAATTGTTAAGATCCTGTTTTAATAAACATACTGCCAGTGAGAAGCTGAAGAACCATATGATGTGGCCAGGGGCATCCTGAGTCAAGGAATCAACAGGAGTATAAGCTGTTGTGCCCAGCTGTAGGTCTTGGGGAAATGTCACAGCTTTTACCCAACTCTGGCTGGAGCGACCATCTTGAGAAAACCATCAGTGATGCTGTTTTTATAAAGGAGAGGGGGAAAACATTTTAGAAACTGGGTGATCTTTATTAAAACAATAACTAAAGATTTTTTGAAGAACTTTTGCTATTAAGGCTACTTAAAAAAGAGACCTAAACCTCCCCTGAGATTCAGCCCCTTTGTGAGAACGACTCTCCCAGGCTGACTTAGGGGTTACGGCTTATACACATATATCAGTGATCACATTTGTTGGTAAAGTGTCAATTTTTTTACTATATCTCTTGAGGCATGAGGGTTCCCCGTAGCTGCCTCCTGGGTCACAGCAGAATGGGGTAGAGAACTTCGTACCTTTCCCATTCACAGCTTCAACCAGAGTTCTCTGTTTTACGTGTTATGGTACACATAAAATTATATTTGAAGACAGTGATCCCACCACCTTAAACTTTGAAAGATGTTGAAAAAACCAACTAACGAACCTAGCTTTGAGACCAAAGGAAACAGGAGAATTAAAATGGTGTAAAAGTGCTTGGGACATCTTTGAGAATATGCTGCAATTAAAAAGAAAATAAAGTTATTGGGATAGGAAGGGAAATCCAGTTAAAACAAAGGAGAGTTCACAGCAACATGGCTTCTCTGAAGGAGCTGGAGTAAAAAAGTCCCAAACCAGTTCTCTCTCTGTCTACTCTCTGCCGATAACTGCAGAGAGTTTAAGACTATCAGTCGTGCTTTAGAATCTTGGTTGTAGGTATTCAGAAATGATATTTTCTTTTCAGTGTCTCGAGGTAGGATTAAAAAACAATTCCCAACTTCAATAAATTTCTATAGAAAATAAAAACTATTTGGATCATGTTTATCTGTCTTCTAATTCTTGCTCTCAATCTGGCAGAATATGTTGAGGTATTATGATTACTAATTTCTTATAGTACATTTAATTCTTTGAATTTTATTTTTAGATGTATTAAAAATATGCTTTACTGAAATATTCATTAAAAGGAAGATAGTTATTTCTTTCTTAAAGTGAGTCTTGCCGTATTTTACAGGAACAGCAGACTCATCCATAATCAAGAAGTTCTGATTCCAACTCACTTCTTTATTGTGCTAACAAGTTGTAACAATCCATCGCGGGCTCTCCCACAGTGTGAAAATTTAGATGCCTCAGCTTTCATTTTGCCTCACAGGACTGATAACACTGAGAGCTGTGTGGTAAGTAGCCTGCGTTAATTTACTTTAAACATTGAATATATAAATATAAGTATATTTGTGTATGTCTTACATCTACCATTACTGTGGGAGCAACCCCATAACTTGAATATATATGTACTTTGAAATTACAGGATGGTTTTAAATTTGATCTTCTCAGATGACATATCTTCAAAGAACACCCTTGTCTTTTAAAAACACTAAAAATCAGATCAAATTGTAAAAACTTAGTGCTTTTGTGTAGCTTAGCCACTAAACTCTAGGTTTATTTGAAGTGTGAATTCATTGTTGTTTCAAAACTGGGTTTATAATTCCACAAGTTATAAATTAGTCTTAAAGTTGTGGTTAGGCAACATTTCAAATTAATTTTCTATGTGTCACTTTATTATAAAAATCATGTTTTTCCGTAATTTTCTTATTCTGTTGTCATTCCAGTGTTTAGAAATAGTTGTTTCATGTTATCTTATTTGCTCAGAATTTAAAACATCTGAACTATAGTCTTTGAATGTCAAGATTGCACTAAAACTTTAGCAATTTTTAAGTTTTTCTTTATGGTGAGCCAAAATGTTTTCCTTTCAAGACTTCTAGTTGTTTTTTTTTTTTTTTTGTCCATTGAAGTTACACAAAGTAAGTCTAGACCTAAGCTGGTGAATAGATTTGGCTTCTCACCAGCCTCAATGGATGGGCGGTGCATACCTGGAGTCCTGTGGTCAAAGGATCTTGAGGCCCATCCAGTCTGAGCTTGGCAGGAAAAAGGGCTGTGATCATTCATTCATTCATCCCATCATTCATTCATTTATCCCTCCTTTGATCCAGCCATTCATTCCTTTAATACATACTTGTTGCCAGGTACTCTAGATACCGAGGCCCAGCAGTGAACAGAACAGACAGTGGTCTCTGCTGTGGGCCCAGGAGTGGATACGGTGACCCACTTGCCATCCCTGATCTCGTAGTCTTTCTATGTATCATTCATAAAATTAATGAAGATATGTCTCTCTCTAATTGTTTCTCTGATAAGCTTTCAGTATTAGTTGACCAGTCCTCATAGAGCACATTTCTCCTTAAGTTATTTTTTCCTTATTTTTTAGAATTAAATACAGAATAGCAGGATTTTAACTCTTTGGATGCCTGTTGGGCATCAAACTCTGCTAACTGGTCAATATGGTGGACACTATTGGACACATACCAAGTATTCCCTTCTTCATTGCTTTCTCTTCCTTGAGAGATTAAATTGTCAATAAAAGTATCGGTTAGTGTTGTATTCTGCAGCAAATAACAGACAACCCAGTTACAGTGACTTGAGCATTTAAGGGGATCCTCATGTAACAGAAAGTCCAGAGGGAGATGGTCTTGGGATGGTGTACTGGGACAGCAGCACCATTAGGGACCCAGATCTTTCTTGTCTTCCTGCGCCACTATTCTTAGCACATGGCCCATGTGGGCTAAAGATGGCTTCTACTTCTCTAGATGTCACGTCTGAATTCTGGGCTCTCCCAGAAAAAAGGAAAGCAGCACTAGGCTTATACTTACATCTCATTGACCAAAATGATGTTAAGTGCCATGAGTTAGGTGTTGAATTCCCTTTCTGTCTCTACCATTCCAAAAGCTATTTTACCAATATCTTAAATACAAACATTTTATCAAATGCTAATTGACAATGTACCTAGAAGATGTACCCTGGTAGGATAATGGTAGAATCAGAACTTGAGTCCAAGTTTCTTCATGCTAATTCCTATATTCTTTCTACCATTCCGTGTTGCTTCTCTTTTCCAACATTTTTAAACCCCACACTGTTGAAATTTCTTGCAGCAATGCAATAGATGAGCATCTGTTCCTGGTATACCTTCCTCTTCCCAGATTTGATATGTCTAATTAAACAAATATGCGTGGTATATATTAGATGGTGAGCTACTCAAGAGCAGAGATTATGTCTAACAAATCTTGTGGCATCTGCCATTTGCAAGCCAAAGTGTCATAGCCGATTAAAGTGGGGAGATGGAGAGCTTGTAGGACTTTTCTCACTTCTCCAGTGACTTTTCTTCTTTATGTCCCACCCTCATAGCACGGGAAGCATGAATCCTCATGGGTTGAAGAGTTGTTGAGGTTACACAGAGCTCGGATTACCGATGTTGAACTCATCACTGGACTCAGCTTCTATCAAGAAAGAAAAGAGCCAGTTTCAGACATTTTAAAGTTGAAAACACACTTGCCAATTTTTAACCAAGAAGACTGATTTTTTTATTCCAGAAACACACCATAAATCTTTTCGAAAGAACCTTCTATTTTATACAGTCCTCTATTCACATTATTGCATTGTTTGGAAACTGTCAACCAGAGTTAGAACTGGGAATCCTCTGTGATACGACCATCTCAGGGAAACTTGTGGCCTTAGCATAGCAGTAGGGGAGTGTTCCTGTTGAGTCTCGCACATGTTTGAATGTGTAAGAGCTGTGAGCATTGTTCAGGTTTGGGGAATAAAGACAGACCATACCAAAAACTGCTCTTCTACTTCTCTTAAGGGCAGAAGTAGCTGTGAACATTGTCTGGACAACAGATAATTTGAATCTTATTATCATTAATAAACTTTTATGCAGCTGGCAAATAATAGACTAATGAATAGGATTGGAATAGTCCGTGTTACGTTAGTCTCTTCACAAGAATTTAAAAGTGGTTCTGGACTCCTTTTAACTTGGAGTTTCATTTCTTTCAGTTTTAATCAAAAAAATTAATGGAAGCAAAAATATTTCTGGGGTCCTATTTCTGTCTTTTCTGTACACCCCCTGAAAAGCCAAAATATGTAATCCTGTGTTAATTTTTTATTGTGATTGGGCCTTTCCAGATTTAATGGCTGTAACAAGTTAAACTTTGAGGGAAGATCTGTGAATTGATCATATCTACCTGTTATGAAATTTCATTCTACATTTGTAGAAGAGAAGACAAATATTCCCCTCCTGCTCACTGGTAATTAACATAGGTTGAAAATAGCTCTGAAAGTGGTTATTTTAGACTGTTAAAAATATCTTGGTAATACTTCAGAGAACTTGTCAACATATGCAAGGTGGCATTTTTCATCAAGATGGTGGGAATGTTTTCCTTTGTGCACAAAAATGACCCCATCAGCAGCAGAGCTATACTGTGCTGAGCTATTCATTTTGAAGTTTCGTAGATTTGAAGGGAACATGTTATCATCACTTAATATCTTCTTGGTGGGTATGATAAAAGAACTTGATTTCTCCACTGTATGGACTATACCCTTTAGTCCCAGCCTGTGAACCTTTGAATGCTACAGTCACTTTTAGGCTACCGGGGTCTGATTTAGGTGTTATTTTAGTACACCGAAGGTTTGTATTTGTCCTTCATATGATACTCATTGCTCAACAGCCTTGGGGTCACAAAGACCTTTAGATAATACAATTTGCATCTGAAAATTATTTAATAATGTAGAAAGTTTCCTTTGTTTTTGTTTTAGTCCCACAGGTCCCTGAGGTTCTGTACCTTTTTTTTTTTTCCAGTCTGTTTTCTCTGCTGTCCAGATTGGGTAATTTCTATTGTTCTGTCTTCAAGTTCACTGATTCTTTCCTTTGTCTAATCCATTCTGCTGTTGAGCCCATCCATTGATTTTTGTGTTTCAGTTATTGTATTTTGGTTCTTCTTTATATCTTTTATTTCTTTGCTGTGAGTTTTTCTCTCTTTGCTGAGACTTTTTGTTTTTTCATTTGTTTCAAATATGTCCGTAATTGCTCATTGAAGCCTTTTTATCATGGCTGCTGTAAAATCCTTGTCACATAATTCCAACATCTGTGTCCTCTTTATGTTGCCACCTCTTGTCTTTTTTCATTCAAAAAGATTTTCCTGGTCCTTGGTGTGATGAATGATTTTCAGTTGAAACCTGGATATTTTAGGTATTATGTTATGGGACTATGGATCTTATTTAAGCCTTCTGTTTTAGCTAACTTTCTCTGATGTCACCCTAGGAGGGGAATTGGGGGTACTGCCTTATTATTTCCAGATGTGCTAGTGTTCAGGTTCCCTGCTCAGCCTCCATTGACACTGGGGGTGAGGGGGACCCTGGTTGTTACTGGGCAGGGTGGGAATTCAGCTCCCCACTGGGCATCTGTTGATGCCTCCCTAGTTGGGGATGTGCAGGGCACCTTGTTACTGCTCCCTTGTGGTCTCCACTGACGCTGTGGACAGGGGTGGCAGGGAAGCTTTATTATCACCAGGTGAGGATGAAATTACCATTTCCCTCCTCAGCCTTCTCTGACAGCACCCTGGCACCACCACCAGCCTTCTCTGACACCACCACACTTGGGGCATCTCTTCACAGCCTGGCAAATGTGGAAGTCTAGGCTTCCCACTCAGTCTTTGCTGGCACGGGTGGGGTCCTGGTCTTTTCTGTGGTGTGTGGCTGGAGTGGAACAGTTATTATTTTCTCTCTTGCTGGGCTGCTCCTCTTCTGGTCCTTTGGCTAGAGAGAGAGCAGCCCTCTCAGGGCTTCTTTCCGTCTGCGCTCGTTGACATTTTCAGATTACTGACTACTTCAGCTCCAGGTCTGAGATATATGAGCTAAAAAGCAAACTCGGGGGAACTCGTCGCAGTGTCCCTCCTTGGTTGCCGAGGTCCCTCGCCTGTCTGCCTTTCCTCTCCACCTGTCAGAATCTTCCTATGTTTGTTTTATATGTAATGTCTAAGCTTTTTATCTGTATTTAGCAGAAGCATATCTACTTCTTTGTTGAAGTGTCTCATTGATTTTTATATATTCTTCAAAACACATGCAGACACGTGATTGCCTCTATATAAAGCATTTTAGTAGATCTTAATTAAGTGGATAGATGTCTCTCCCCTTTTCCAGACACTGGGAATACAAAGAAAAACAAGTTAACAGTCCTTACAGTCCTGGAAAGAGAGTGGAGGCAGCAGAAGTGTAAATGATCCCTAAAGGGTGGTAAATGTTACAATGGAGCCATGGGCAGGGTGCAAGGGGTACAAAGGAGGCATTGGTGCTGCTTGGCAGTGTCACCACTGGCTTCCTGGAGGTGATGACATTTGGGCTGGGACTTGAAGGGTGAATTGGAGCTCTCCAGGTGAACAGGTGAGGAAGTGCATTCTGGCCTGCCTTGGATGGTTATGTTTTTGGCAGTTTCCCATTTACTGCTACTTCTGATATTTTCTACAAGTGTCCTTGTGACCAATTTATGATATACAAGTATTTCATTTTTTTCCTTTGTTATAGTAATCTCCTGTTCTTAAAGGAAGTGTCAGATTATAAATTCTATGCTGAATTTAAAGGAAAAGGCATCCACATCTGTTCCTTGCTCTTATACGTTATTTGTTTTTTCAGTTTTTATCTTGAAAGAGACCCCTCCTTTCACTATTTCATCAACTTAAAACATGTAACTGGGCTCCACTTCCCCCATTTGAATGGTAAATTCACAACCATATATGGCAACACCTTTATCCTGCTTTTTTCAGTAAGGGCTATTCTTTGCTTTTCAAGTGCCCAGCAAAATCTTTATTTATCCCTAATTTTACTGCCATGTCTCCAATTGGTATTTCTTAAATGAAGTAAGTAACTTCCACACAAAATTTCGTAGCTAGTCAGTTCATTCATGGCAGAGCAAAGAACCAGGTGGAACTTAAAAATAGTTCCAAGAATCAGAGAAAAGAAGGCCGACCTTTGGGGTAAGAAGGTGAATGTTCAGGTTCCAGCAGGGTAAGGAGATGGAGAGGACCCTTAGGCAAGTTGGCCTGGTCCTGTTTAAGGAGATAAGACAGACAGGGATGGAGCTGGCCTTCTTCTCCTCCAGGAGAGGATGTTAGCCCTTCTGACTTTTCTCTGTCGTTGGATGCATCACTGTCCTGCCCGGCTTTGTAGGTACATGCTTATCTATAAAAGAAACTGGTATTTGAACTTTGAAACTAAATGTGGTGGTTATACTTCATGCTGAAGCCTATCACAGGAATTTGGTGCATAGGTGCTTTCACAAGCATTAAGTAAAATTTTACTACGGCTACAGTCCAGGGACATTTCCCCTGATTTTTGGCCAGTCTAAATATTATAAGGTAGAAAAAAAATCTTCTATAAAATATAAGTGTCTCTAAGCTAAAAAATATGGATTTACAAATAAAAGTTGTCTGTACAGAAGCTTGGCTGCTTTCCTGTGTGGACGTGTGTGTGTTTGGAGGGTGGGGCCAGGGAATGGTTGGTGGTGGTTTGCTTGGGATTGGTACTGAGTACAAGTGTTGGGCAATTAACCACAGCTGTATTGTTCGAAGGAGAAAAAAGATCCAAAGTTCATTTCCGCTTCACAGAGTAAACACCCTTTCTGATGTGACCTATATTCTTGGCTTTGGTATTTTAATTACATTTAATTTTACTTCCAGGTGAAAACAAGCAACAGGCATATATAAAATCCTTCCAGTAGTTAGAATGGTCTGAAACCAGAGGGAAAGTTTTCATCTTGTAACTTCCATAGATTTTTTTTTTCAACATGAAATTTCTGTGTTTATCCTCTTCATTATATATAAATAGTGATTAAAGGAAAAATAAAGATGTTTGCTAGAAATCATATCCATACCGGAAACCACAGATAGTTAAGTACGTTTTAGCCTACTATAAGTAAAAAAATCTCTAGAATAGGTACTGTATCTCTGGGATGCCAAAGGGTGCAACAACCTAAAAGAAACCCCTTTCATTCCACCCCAATGCCATTGTTTTAAATTTAACTTCATACCTGCCAATAACTCCTCAGTTTTGGGGATAATTTGAGGATTTTAATAAAAATAACACATTCATTTAAAATTCATGTCCAATTTCACTATGTATCAGAAATTCAGAACTCAGAATAGACTTCAGCTTTCACAGAATAGACACACAAAGCAATTTAATGAATATCCACGAAATGAGATTTTTACAACATTTGTTGATAATTTTGCCCCATGATGTCCAGGTATTTTTCTTTTTCTTTTTTTTTTTTAAGATTTTATTTATTTTACTTTTTCCCCCCAAAGCCCCAGTAGATAGTTGTATGTCATAGCTGCACATCCTTCTAGTTGCTGTATGTGGGACTCGGCCTCAGGATGGACGGAGAAGTGGTGCCTCGATGCGCACCCGGGATCCGAACCTGGGCCACCAGCATTGCAGCGTGCGCACTTAACCACCAAGCCACAGGGCCGGCCCCAGGTATTTTTCACTATCAAAAATTTTTTATACCTACACCAGGATGGCATCATGCTGGGTGTATTATAAAGGAAGTGAGATGGGGGTCTTGGAACTGAAAGTTTATAAGTTAATAAAAACTTGAGAGGATCTTAAATGAGGCCAAAATTTTCTCAGTCCAATGAAGGGATCTCATTGCTCAAATTTTCACAATTTTTAAAGTCTCAACTAACACTTAGAATTTTGAATTCTCTATCAGAAACTATTCTATACCTTGACAGAATTTCGCTGTCTTTGGTTTGAAGAGTTACTCACTTGTATGAAGGTCCAAACAGAAACAGAGTGGTAAACAGGGTGGGGCTTTCCTTTGTGTACTTGGCTTAAGGTATCATCACTGTTGAACTCAGTAGCACACTTTCAGACATTACAGCTGGGTGAGAGTCCATTAGATCAAGATTGACAATAGATTTCAGAACTGTGCTGACTCTTGGGGAATGAGGCATTAGGAATATGTTGGAGAACAGGACGGACAGGATGCCTGCCCCCTTGGTGCTCACTTATCAACATCCACCTTTATTTCAAGGTCCAGCCCAAGTCCCCTGTTCTTATGGCACCAGTACTCCTCTCTGTACCCCTCAGGCATTGGTCCTGTGCTCGAACTCTCCTAGACACTGGAGATAACAGCACACACCCACAGGCTCGTCCTGGTTATGTAGTTGCAACTAATTACACATATCTAATGCAATTTATTGTTCCATAACCTGTGCACAATGTGGTTACATCACATTGTGACCAACTAAGAAGTTGGACCCAGATTCCGGTGCTAGATCCAGACACATGGCTTGCTAACGGCAGTCTGAAACCATAAAAGGAAAGAAAATAATTTCAAGGTGGTGTGATTGTAGGTATAAGAGGATTGTTAGCCTCCACTTGGGACTTCCAGAGACCTGGCAGGATCGCATCCTAAAGAGAACAGGTTACTGCAAACCTCATAAGGAAATTGAGAAGTCCCAAGAAGCTGCA